ACGCACACCTTCGTCGTACCGTTGGATTTGGTGAAATGCCGTCTGCAAGTTGACCCCAAAAAGTACAAGAATTTGATCAACGGCTTCAAGGTTACCATTGCTGAGGAAGGCGCACGTGGTCTGGCTAAGGGCTGGGCTCCAACATTCTTCGGCTACTCAGCACAGGTGAGTGAGTGGGCGAAGTGAAAATGGTATTCGCACGTGATTTTAATGTGTCAAACAAATAAGTTAAAAATCTTCATAAAATGGAACATGCTAATAGCTAAAATTAGTGCAGTCAAGCGAGTTTTGTGAAGATACCAATCGATGTACACTTGTGGAGGACGTCGAAATAAGAAATGAGAAAATTCTCAATATTGTATCGAGGTTACACAATCCCTTGTTGTTATCGGCTTATTGATTTTTAATGCTAAAATTACTTATTCGATTTATTTCATTGCTACACATCAAAACTAATCGGTATATGTTATTTAAAACCGCTATTTGTTAATCTCACCTGACGAACATTGTATGATTAATGTGTATGCTTATTACGTCTGACTTTCACCTTTTGCTTTTTTTCTTTCACCCTCTTAACCAAAGTTTGATTTATCAGATATCAGCATTTCCACACGACGTCATTAATTTAGTTTTTGTCGTCATGTGATAAAATTGTATTTATGGTTTGGTAATTAAAATGGCATCACATAAGATAAGCAAATACATATATATATGTATGTACCATATATAAAAGTAGTTCAAAGTTTTAGACAAAAACCTAATATTTTTAATTAAAATTTTTTTTTGTATAATATTTAGTTTTATTTATATCAAAAATATAGTATCGCATATCACAGCTTAAAAGTTAGTGCGAATTTTCTTTAAAACCATGTATTTGCTAGAGATTTTTAGGTTAATATAATATTTGTTTATATTTTTATTTATGTATTTTTTATGTTTGTTTACTCATACAACTTGTAGGGTCTGTGCAAGTTCGGTTTGTATGAAGTGTTCAAAGTATACTACTCCAACATCTTGGGTGAAGAGAATTCATACTTGTACCGTACATGGTTGTATTTGGCTGCCTCTGCATCGGCTGAATTCTTCGCCGATATCGCTTTGGCTCCAATGGAAGCTGCCAAGGTTAAGATCCAGACCACACCTGGCTTTGCCAACAATCTTCGCGAGGCTTTGCCAAAGATGATCAAGGATGAAGGTGTCGGTGCTTTCTACAAGGGTCTGGTACCATTGTGGATGCGTCAAATTCCATACACCATGATGAAGTTCGCTTGCTTCGAACGCACCGTGGAATTGTTGTACAAGTAAGTAACGTAACTGTCCTTACTCTTTAGTTTTTAGAATATATTTTAAATTCATCTGGTTTTTCCAATTAGACACGTTGTACCCAAGCCACGTGTCGAATGCACCAAGGGTGAACAATTGGTGGTGACATTCGCTGCTGGTTACATTGCTGGTGTCTTCTGTGCCATTGTATCGCATCCTGCTGATGTGGTCGTTTCTAAATTGAACCAAGCTAAGGGCTCCTCTGCCATCCAAGTGGCTAAATCGCTCGGCTTCATGGGTATGTGGAATGGTCTGACGCCACGTATCATTATGATCGGTACACTCACTGCCCTGCAATGGTTCATCTACGACGGTGTCAAGGTTGCCTTGGCTCTGCCACGTCCACCACCACCAGAGATGCCAGCTTCCCTCAAGGCTAAAGTCGAAGCTTAAACCAATTTTAGATTTAAACGAAACTCATCAGCAAACTACAATACGTATCTAAATTAAATAAGTTCAGCCAGCGATATTAAAGTGAGACGGTATTAAGTCGTCACAGTTACAGTAGTTAAGATGCAAAAAAGTATAGCAAGGTTACCGGAACAGGACGAGTGAATACAGTGAATATACATACACATTGACTCGGACATACGTATCGACGCATTTATTGGGGAAGCAAAAGAAGAAAGACGATACGCTTCTAAAATGCATATAACTGCTTATAAAACATAGTGTTTAAGGTGAAAAGAGTGGAAACACAATGTTATAGCACATACACTAACTTTACTATAGGTTAATTTTCACAGCATTTAAAGCAACATAATTCTGGCATTCCAGTGGGTAATGTAAATGTCCCGCTAGAAACTATGCATTTCTATTTAAAATTAACTAATTAACTGCAAAAAAACATTCTGTATATATTTTTAACTACTTATTTCATATTTTCAAACACTTAACTTGTATAGCCTTTTTAAATGTTAAAATTCTATTTGTGTGCGAGCAGGGAAAAAAAGTTATGCAAAGCGTTATGGCAAATTTACTAACGATTGTAACACTAGTTTAGCAGCATTAAGTAAAAAGTATAAAATATGTATCGTTTTATCTATGTTTTTTGTAATCCCCGCTAAACAGCGTTGCTAACGTTGTCCGAAAAAATATAGTAAAATGTTCAAAACTAAGAAGCTGTGTTTCTTTCTTAGTTTAAAAGTTGAGTGGGTAAGTATGAACTCGAAAAAAAAAAATAAAAAAATACTAAAAAAAAATTAAAATAAAAAAATTAAAAAAAATATAAATAATTAAATAAAAATAAGAAAAAAAATAAAAATAAGAAAAAAAAAGAAATAATAAAAATAAGAAAAATAATTTTAAAAAAAGTAGAATAAAAAAAAAATAAAAATAATATAAAAACAAAAAAATAAAAAAAAATTATAATAATAATAAAAAATAAAGACAAAAAAATTCAAGTCATATAAAAAATATAATAATTATAAAAAAATAAAAATAATTATAAAATAAAAATAATAAAATATTAAAGTAAGAAATAAAAAAAAATAATAAAACAAAAAAAAATTAATAAAAATTATAAAAAAAATTCGTTCCAATTACAGTCGGGCCTACGTAACCGGAACGGACTCGGATTTTGGCCGGTCAAGCGCTGCCAAATCGGCAGCAACGGCAAATTACAGCAGGGATGTTTTCTGCCACTACAACAACAAAAAAACACAAGTAAAAAATATATTTATATTGAAAAAAAAAAAAAATTTTATTTAGAACTTTGTAGTATATGTATTTATGTACAAGTATAGGTATTTGTATATGTTTGTCTTAATCTAAAAAATATACATTTGTTGTTCTTATGCTAATTTAAAAGCTAAATATCTACAAATCGCGTTTAACAATTACACATATGGCTCATTTAAAGATAATAGCTTGATTTCATGTCAAACAATTCAAGTATTTTATATAATATATATGGTCTTTACATATGTACATGGCATTAAAAATATTTATTTTAGTTAAAGGAAACGCAAAACCAAGCAAATAGAAAAACGTATGTTGAAATGGTATAGCGCGGTCTAAATTGCGGTAAAACCATATATCTCTCTAATGGCTTAACAAACCCGTGGGGTGAAATGGAACATATGACAAGAGTATAATGCTGATACTCAGTATATTTTGTATTATTTTTAGAGCATAATTATTTTTGAAGGCCAACTGCAGCGTAAACGCTACATAAAAGTACACACATGACATACATACATACAAACATATATATGTAGGTGTTTAAAACCGTTTTCTTTGTCTTGATATGTGCAGATATATATTTTTGATTTTGCTAAACGCAAATTTAGCACTTTGAAGCAAATGTATAAATTAATTTTGCATTTAATTCAACACTCATTAAGCGCTGTGTGCGTGTTATTTTCGTTGTGTAAAACAAAACCGAGTTTAGGCGGTGCTTCACTCGTGTTATTTTTAGGTTAATTATTTTTTTCAATTTAAAACTGCTCTATTGACAGAAAAAACACGATTTTTAACTTAAAGTCGTATATACATATGCATGTATGTATGTATGCATGCACTTTTCGCCTTTTGTGAAAGTCTTCAATTAGCTGCCAATTAAAAAAAAAAAAATTGCGTAAAATTTAACAAACAACGTACAATTTGTGTTTGTTAAGCAAAATTTTTTATGTAACTTTCTTAACAACCATTTCAGTCTTACAGTTTCAGATACAAACGCGAGAATAAGTAAAAATGTAATGTGTGCTAACATTATGCATATGCTAGGTTAACAAATTAAGAAATTAAAATCCAGCTTAAAAATATTAGTTACCTATAAAATTTTGTTTATGCTTTTATTATACATTCATTTTTCAATTTTTATTTATTAATATTTTTTTTTCATTTGTATTTTGCTGTCTCTATATTATTTACTGGCTTTTTATTGCATTTGAAATTGTAACAAAAGTGAAAAAAATTTTCCTTTTTGTATGGCAACATATTCGAAATTACTTACACACGCTTAAAAACGTAACAATTTACATATAGTATATATATATATAAAACTAGACATTAAAATTAATATTTACAAAATTGTTTATTTTTTGTTTTGCTTATTTATTCATTTTGTTACAAAAACTATTCAAAAATGTGCATTGCTTACAAAAAAGAACATACAAAACCATATACATACAATATAAATGTCGTTGCGTAATTAAAACGTTTTATAAAAATAAAAAAAAAATAGATTTTATAAAAATTTAAAAAAAAAAATAGATTTTATAAAAATT